CAAAGATGATGTAATTTTTAGAGCATTTATTTAGCAGAAAACTGTAATCGTAATCAAACCCAGTATTTTAGCTGTAGTAAAAATGAACATAACAGAAGTACAGAAGAATGTTTTATATATATTGTAAAATCATTTCAACAACAAACAAAAACATTTCTCATATTTTCAACAGTATCAGGATAAAGTGGATGTTATAACCAGGACTTCAAGTAAAATTACTCATTTAGACATAAATAAAAACCTGGACTTGGTTTGTCTTGAGCCGGACCCACCCGCTCTCTGGTTCTGTTGTGACCATGACCTCCTGACCCCTCAGAACCGCGAGTCCTCGTCGTGGAGGCAGATTTCAGCGTGCGGGTGTCGGTGCAGGTAAACAGGGGACAGGTGTGTTTCCAGGTGACGTTTTGTTGCTCGGCGCAGAAACACAAACACACTGCGGTGATGACGAGGAGCGTCCTTCGTCTCTCGCTGTGAAAACAAACGTCGGCCGGGACGTGACGGCCCGGGCGCTAACGTTGCCAAGGTAAAGTTTCCCCTGCTGTTGCCACGACAACCAGCTCCACACCTGCGTCCTCCGGCTCGTCCTTGGACCGACGCCGGAGGAGCAAACGTTCACGAGTCTGAGAGGAATTTAACGTTTCAGTTTTATAGACTGGAGTTTTACACAAAAACAAATTCATTCAGGAAATAACAAAAAACACAAAGATTTTTCTTAAATATCATAAAATATTAATAATTTAATGAAAAACATAAAGATATTTTCTTAAATATCATGAAATATTAATAATTTAACGAAAAACAAAGATATTTTCTTAAATATCATAAAATATTAATAATTTGATGAAAAACAAAGATATTTTCTTAAATATCATAAAATATTAATAATTTGATGAAAGCTTTGCCTCGTGTCGACTCACCAGCTGCATAAAATCACATTTAGGACTAAAATGATTTTGTTTTTATTGAAGATGTTTTTCTGCTGAAGTGAACAAATCTAAAACAACCAACAAACACTGCAGGAGTGATTTGTTTATTTATTACTTTATTTAAGAGGTTTGTTGTTGCTTTACTTGAATTTTGTTTTAAAACTATACAGAAAATTTACTTTTTAAATATGTTTTTATATTCAGGAGTTTTTTTTCTTTTTTTGCCTTGATGATAGTAGAGTTTGATGATTGTGAAGATAAAACTTTGGGATAAATCTTGTGCCAGCAGGATTTGAATTTGAATTGTTCAGATTCAGTCTGTATGTGCATCATTTACATCCATCCATCCATTTTCTGTACACGCTTCTTCCTTTTTCAGGGTCGCGTGGGTCACTGGTGCAATTGAATGAAAATGAATTTAAAGTTTTGAATTTGAATTAATTTGCTTTGAAACTTTATTTTTGTTTATTAAAACGTCAGTTTGACTACTTTCACTTTCAGTTCCATAATTCAGATTTTTGTGTCACATCCTGGTCCTTGAGGCAGAGTAATCAAACACAGATCCACAGATTTATGTTTTCCTTCTGTAAAAGTGTGAAAATCCTGTAATGACGTGATGTAAATGTAACACTGTCTATAGGTAAAATTAATCACTGCAATAAAATAACTTGTTTTTGTCACTTTTACAGTGGATTGTATCAACTCAGCGAAGCTTCACCGAAGTGAAACATAAATCTGTGGATCTGTGTTTGATTACTCTGCCTGGCTTTCTCAAGGACCAGGATGTGACACAAAAATCTGAATTTTGGGACTGAAAGTAGTGAAAATGATTTTCTAATAAACCAAAATACATTTTCAAATCAAATTAATTCAGATTCAGTTCCTGTTGGCAGAAGAGTGACGTCATAAAAACATTTAAAACTGTTGAACCTTTGATATTAATGTAAAATCTGGGCTCAGTCTTGTTCTGGACATTAGTAATGCTTTTCTTGTTTCTGTTCTGCTGAAGCCACTGTTGCCATGGCGACCAGTAGATTATTTTTATTAAACATGAAGTTGTTAATAAAGTAGATGACCTCGTCATGGTTCAAACTGACAAACTTTATTGAAACGAAGCGTCTGGCCTGACATCCTCTCTCTGGTCTCAGTGTCTGCGCACGCTGACGGGCCACAGCGGCGGCGTGTGGTGCAGCCAGATGACCGTCGCCACGGTGATCAGCGGCTCCACCGACCGGACGCTGCGCGTGTGGGACGCCGAGAGCGGCGAGTGCGTGCACACGCTGTACGGGCACACCTCCACCGTACGCTGCCTGCATCTCCACGGCAACAGGTAACGTCTCCATGGCGACCAGGATCACTCACTCACCATCCATCACTTCACTGTCTCCATGGTTACCAGCTGATGCTGTGGTTTTGATTTGTGAATAGGATCACACTCAAATAAATCCATGTTTACTAACCTCCGTGCTGCCCATAATGTGAGGCTTTTATTGAATCAATCTTTTATTGAATCGAGTCTTTTATTGAATCGAGTCTTTTATTGAATCGAGTCTTTCGTTGAATTGAATATTTTTATTGAATCTAATATTTTTATTGAATCGAATCTTTTATTGAATCCAATCCTTTATTGAATCAAATCTTTTATTGAATCGAATTTTTTTATTGAATCAAATCTTTTATTGAATCGAGTCTTTCATTGAATCGAATATTTTTATTGAATCGAATCTTTTATTGAATCCAATCCTTTATTGAATCAAATCTTTTATTGAATCAAATCCTTTATTGAATCAGATCTTTTATTGAATCGAGTCTTTCATTGAATCGAATATTTTNAGTCTTTTATTAAATCGTATCTTTTATTAAATTGGATCTTTTATTGAATCTCATCTTTTGTTGAATTGAATCTAATCGAATCCTTGACCCAAGGGCAGCAGCAGAAGATACTTATTGCAGAGTCATAAAAACAATTATTTATTTTAGTTCTTAAATCAAGGATAAATCTGTGTCCAATAAGACGATCTGATTGGCTGATGCAGCAGTGATGTCATGCCCCTCCCCCTCAGGGTGGTGTCGGGCTCCCGGGACACGACGTTGAGGGTGTGGGACGTGTTGACGGGCCGCTGCGAGCACGTCCTGACTGGCCACGTGGCGGCGGTGCGCTGCGTCCAGTACGACGGGCGCCGCGTGGTGTCGGGCGGCTACGACTACATGGTGAAAGTGTGGGACCCCGAGACGGAGGTGTGTCTGCACACGCTGCAGGGACACACCAACAGGGTCTACTCCCTGCAGGTAAAAACTCTCACAGGTGGATTGTACTCTGGAGGCGTTTCAACGTTTTTCAGCTCCTCGCTTTGGTTTTTTTCTTCGCAGTTTGACGGCGCCTTCGTGGTCAGCGGCTCATTGGACACGTCAATCAGGGTCTGGGACGCAGAGACAGGTACAAACATTACAGTTAAAACAGGACGATGTGGAATTACTGCAACAGAAGTCACCAGACAGAACCTTACCTGTCCTCTCCAGGTGGGTGCATCCAAACGCTGACCGGCCATCAGTCGCTGACGAGCGGCATGGAGCTGCGGGACAACATCCTGGTGTCCGGGAACGCAGACTCCACGGTGCGAGTGTGGGACATCCGGACGGGACAGTGTCTCCACACGCTGCAAGGTGAGACGCCGAAAACATCCGGCTGAAAGTCAAATTGTGTTTTTGTGATGTCAGGGATAAATGGTCGACTTTTATGGAAAACAAAACAAGTTCTGAAGGTTAATAAAAGGTTTTATGTGATGTTGTAAAAGATGACATCATCAGCATAGAAAGTATTTGGGACTGGGCTGAGTATTGATCCCTGAGGAACGCCTTTATTAGACATATTTGAGACTAAATATACGAAGACGTAAATATTAAGGTAAAATGCAAACTTTGTTAGCTTGACCTAAAGAAAACCTGAAATAGTTTTAAAATAAATCCAAAATAATCCTTTTTTTAGTCATTGTGTCCTCATTTAATGAGGTTTTAGATTAAACCGTTAATAAATGAAATCATAAGTCTTACTATGATTTTAGAGCCAGAACATCTGAGAACCACTGCACTGAAATTGACATGTTTACACAGAAGCAGCGTTGAGGTCAGAGGTCACGGTGTGTTTATTCCTTTCTTCAGGTCCCAACAAACATCAGTCAGCAGTGACCTGCCTACAGTTCTGCAGAGGCCTGGTTCTGTCCAGCTCCGATGACGGGACCGTCAAACTGTGGGACCTGCGGACCGGAGCCTGGCTGCGGGACGTGGTGGCGCTGCAGAGTCGGGGATCAGGTCAGGATCTCACACCTACACTGTGGCCCCAGCTGGACTCTGAACCTGAAAAAACTGACTCAATACTTTTTCAGAATATTATCAGAAACAGACCGGAACAGGATAGAAGGATAAATGTTGTGTATTTCTGTAGTTTTGATAATATCATCTGCATAAAACATAATTCTGCTGTGGACCGAGTACTCAGACCTGAGGAACGCCTTTTTAAATCTTGCATTTTTGTACTAAAGTATGCTGAGGAAGTTTGGGAGATAACTAAAGTAAAAACCAAACAGGAAGTGTTCATGTGTAAAAATTACATCACAAATTATGAATTTTATCTTCAGTTTTAAAGCCGTGGAGTCACCAGGTGTTTTAGAAGCTTTGCAGCAACACGTAACGTCTCCTCTGGTTCTGTTCAGGCGGCGTGGTGTGGCGGATCAGAGCCTCCGACACCCGGCTGGTGTGCGCCGCAGGAAGCAGGAACGGCACCGAGGAAACCAAACTGCTGGTGCTGGACTTCGACCTGGATGATGAGAAGAAGGAGGCGGACACAAAGTGAAAAAAAAAAAAAAACACAGAGGGTTTTATCAACCAAGACTCAGAAACTCAGATTTATGTTTTTTTTTGGACCAAAGTCCTGACTGAGTCCAGGTGTCTCCCATCAGTCAGCTGTGAATGTTACGGATGTTCTGATTGGCTGGCAGAGACCGACGAGTAACTGAAGTGAATGGACCAGTAACAGAGACGGCTCAGAGGTTTGACTGTAGCCGATGAGGAGGACATTCACTGGTTTTGCTGCTGTTTTCAAGTCATCGACTCCAAATCTACCAAATCCTGACGTGTGGAGGGGACACGGGCGGCGAAGACGAGCATTTCTCGTTTCACTCCGCCTTCATCTCGATTTTTATCTTTTTTTAATTTATTTTTTTGTCCAGGTTTGCAGCTGATTTGCTCGTCTCCGCTGCCCACAGGACACGTTTGGAAAACACTGTTTTTATTTGTGCGAAGAGGAAGGACTGTGGTTAGAAACCCACGAGCAGAGCCTCACATCTGCAACAGCTGGAAACATCTGGATGGTTTTAAGATCCAAGTGTTGGGCTGATGCTGCTTCTTCCCCAGGCTGTCTTCCACCTGCTCCTTATTCTCACTGCAGATCACAGATTAATAAAATAATCTAAAGCATTAATGAAAAATGTTTCCTCCTCCGTGAAACATTAAGTTTCAGATCTCTGCAGACCAGAATAATTTATTAATCTGATTCTTGTTTCCATGTTTGTATGAACTTCACTCCACTTTGAGCTCACACTAGTTTTTAAATTTTATTTATTTTTTTAATCATCAGGGTTTAAAACTCAGGGGAATCTACAAAGTTGGAGATTAATGAGGGAAAAAACTGGGATTAAAGGCGTTAAAAATCAAAACGCATCGTCCTGCTCCAAAATCTGAACGTTAAAATAAATCTGTTAAATTATTTAGTTTGATTTCATTCATCTCTTAAATTATTTCTCTTTTTCTCACCGTAGATTAATTTCTTCAGTTTGTATTTAAAGTTTTACTTTGTAGATTTAATTACGTGGATAAAAACTGTTAAATATTTACCGTTTTTTCCCCAGACTATCTTTTTTTCCGTCGAATCACACGAAACATGAATTTAAAGGTGGATTATAATCCAGTGAGCTGCTGTTACCAGGCAACACTGGCAGCCGGTGAGCGTTTGGGTCGGTGTGTTTTCGCCCAGCAACAGGTGGTATTTCAGGCAGGAGGTCGACCCTCTGCAGGTGTGAGGCTCTGAGACGGAGGATCCTGTAAAATCCTGTAAATACAGAGAAGATTGTACAGATTCAGCTTTTTATATAAATAAAAAAGAAAATATTGTCCTGATGAGATGAAAGATGAACTGGATTAATCAATAAAGATGAATTTTATAAAGTCTGATGTCTTCATTTTGTTCAAAACGACTCTTTTATACAAAACTTTCTGTTCAGACAAACCAGCCTCGCCTTCAATTTTAAAAATAATTTATTTCACTTAATTAAAAACAAATTAAAACACAAACACACTATCACTAAATGAAAACGAAAGAAGAAAAGAAGAATATCTTATAACGTCTGCTTCCATTTAACAAAATATAAATAAATATTAGGGATACAGACGACAACGATGCAGACATTTTTGGTTCGGTTCGATACTTCAGTCTCACGGTTCGATTTTTTTTTTTTTTTTTGATACAGAAAAGAGAAATGTCCATGCCCTTTTTAACTTGTAATGTATTTAAATTATGTATGACCAAATGTTTAACCTCAAAAGTCCAGTTTTTAAATCAAATGTTGCTGAAACAGCAAGTTTCTCAGTGGATCTGCACTTAAAAATGTAGCCCAGGTGGAGTAGTCGAACACAGATCCACTGATCCTTCAACACAGCATCTTCAGAAGGCAAGTTGATAAAATAAATGTTAAAAATCAGTATTGTTCCATACATAGTGTGTATTGATCCATACATAGTGTATGTTCCATACATAGTGTGTGTTGATCCATACATAGTGTGTGTTGTTCCATACATAGAGTGTATTGATCCATACATAGTGTGTATTGATCCATACATAGTGAGTATTGATCCATACATAGTGTGTGTTCCATACATAGTGTGTGTTGATCCATACATAGTGTGTGTTGTTCCATACATAGAGTGTATTGATCCATACATAGTGTGTTTTGTTCCATACATAGTGTGTATTGATCCATACAAAGTGTGTATTGATCCATACAAAGTGTGTATTGATCCATACAAAGTGTGTATTGATCCGTACATAGTGTGTATTGATCCATACATA